TGTTGACCCCCAAAAATGTCCTCCTAGAACAAAAAAATGGGGTTCAAGCCCCCCCCAAGCCCCCCGGGTCCCCAAAAAAGGGGGTCCAAGACCCCCCCAAGACCCCAGGTCCCCCAAAAAAAGGGGTTCAAGGCCCCACTGTGGACAACAAGGTCCTTCTAGAGCCCCCCAAGACACCTGGGTCCCTTGTTGACCCCCAAAAATGTCCTCCTAGAACCAAAAAATGGGGTTCAAGACCCCCCCAAGCCCCCCAGGTCCCCAAAAAAGGGGGTCCAAGACCCCCCCAAGACCCCAGGTCCCCCAAAAAAAGGGGTTCAAGGCCCCACTGTGGACAACAAGGTCCTTCTAGAGCCCCCCAAGACACCTGGGTCCCTTGTTGACCCCCAAAAATGTCCTCCTAGAACCAAAAAATGGGGTTCAAGACCCCCCCAAGCCCCCCGGGTCCCCAAAAAAGGGGGTCCAAGACCCCCCCAAGACCCCAGGTCCCCCAAAAAAAGGGGTTCAAGGCCCCACTGTGGACAACAAGGTCCTTCTAGAGCCCACCCAAAGCACCCTCAAGGCCCCCAAGATCACCCTCAAGTTCCACCAAGAACCCCCAGAGCCCCCTCAAGTCCCACCAAGACCACCCAAAGCACCCTCAAGGCCCCCAAGATCACCCTCAAGTTCCACCAAGAACCCCAAGAGCACCCTCAACCCCCCTGAGATCACCCTCAAGTTCCACCAAGAACCCCCAGAGCACCCTCAAGTCCCACCAAGAACCCCAAGATCACCCTCAACCCCCTGAGATCACCCCTCAAGTCCCACCAAGCCCCACCAGAGCACCCTCAACCCCCTGAGATCACCCTCAAGTCCCACCAAGAGCACCCAAAGCTCCATCAAGCCCCTCGAGATCACCCTCAAGTCCCACCAAGAACCCCCAGAGCACCCTCAACCCCCCAAGATCACCCTCAAGTCCCACCAAGAGCACCCAAAGCTCCATCAACCCCCTGAGATCACCCTCAAGTCCCACCAAGAGCACCCAAAGCTCCATCAAGCCCCTCGAGATCACCCTCAAGTCCCACCAAGCCCCACCAGAGCACCCTCAAACCCTCCAAGATCACCCTCAAGTTCCACCAAGAGCACCCAAAGCACCCTCAAGTCCCACCAAGAACCCCCAGATCACCCTCAAGTCCCACCAAGAGCACCCAAACCCCACCAAGAACCCCAAGATCACCCTCAAGTCCCACCAAGCCCCACCAGAGCACCCTCAAACCCTCCAAGATCACCCTCAAGTCCCACCAAGAGCACCCAAAGCACCCTCAAGTCCCACCAAGAACCCCCAGATCACCCTCAAGTCCCACCAAGAGCACCCAAGCCCCACCAAGAACCCCAAGATCACCCTCAAGTCCCACCAAGCCCCACCAGAGCACCCTCAAACCCTCCAAGATCACCCTCAAGTCCCACCAAGAGCACCCAGAGCACCCTCAACCCCCTGAGATCACCCTCAAGTTCCACCAAGAGCACCCAAAGCACCCTCAACCCCACCAAGAACCCCCAGAGCACCCTCAAGCCCCCTGAGATCACCTTCAAGTCCCACCAAGCCCCCCGAGATCACCCTCAAGTCCCACCAAGAGCACCCAAAGCTCCATCAAGCCCCCTGAGATCACCCTCAAGTCCCACCAAGAGCACCCTCAAGCCCCACCAAGCCCCCCCAGATCCTCCTCAGGTCCCACCACCCCACCCCATCTCACCCATCGCCCCCCCAAAACCCCCTCCGACCCCCCCAAAACCTCTCCGGCCCCTCTTTTCTCCACCGTGACCCCCTCCAGGCCCCCCCACCTTGGTGTCCCCGGGGGAGATGTGCTTGTAGGGCCCGCTGTCCTCGTCGTCGGGGGGGGTGCTGTGGGTGCGGACGCAGTTGATGTGGCCGGGGATGATGAGGGAGAAGATCTGCTTCCCCGTCCAGAGGGGCCGGGGTTTCAAGATGGCGGGTTGAGGGACCTTCCCGTCCCACGTGGAGAGGAACATCAGCAGGTTCATCACCTCCCCCTGAGGATGGAAAAAAACGGGGGGGACAAATCCATCAGAACCACCCAAAAACGGCCACGATATCAAGGGGACCCCAAAATACCTTCTCAAGGGTCTATGGTTGGGGAGGGTGGCCCAGAGAGGCCCATCACAGGCCTAAAAACACCTCAAAGTGACCCAAAAACCCATCTCCTGGTCAAGGAGAACCCATAAAGACCCAAAATCATGAACTACAGCTCCAAAAATGCCTCAAAATACCCCAAAAAACCTTCCTGTTGGACAAGGAGAACCCTTAAAGACCACAAAATACCCCAACAAACCTTCCTGTTGGTCAAGGAGAACCCATAAAGACCACAAAATACCCCCAAAAAACTCTCTACTGGTCAAGGAGAACCCATAAAGACCTAAAATCATCTACTTCAGCCCCAAAAATGCCTCAAAATGACCCCCAAAACCTTCCTGTTGGTCAAGGAGAACCCACAACCAACTCGTAGGCCCCAACCAACCATTTGAAGGCCACCAAGAACCTCAGGAACCCCCCAGAACCTCTCCGTAGCCCCACCAAACCCTTCCAAAAGCCAGTTGTGACCCCCAAATCCCCACAGAGACCCCCAAGTGTGGGGCGCAGGGCCACCCAGGACCCACACCCTCATTGAACCCCCCCAAACACCCCCCTGTAGAACCAACCAACCCTTTGATGGCCATCAAGAACCTCAGGAACCCCCCAGAACCTCTCCGTAGCCCCCCCAAATGCCACCAAATGCCCCCCTGTAGAACCAACCAACCCTTTGATGGCCATCAAGAACCTCAGGAACCCCCCAGAACCTCTCCGTAGCCCCACCAAACCCTTCCAAAAGCCAGTTGTGACCCCCAAAACCCCACAGAGACCCCCAAGTGTGGGGCGTGGGGCTCCCCTATGACCCACACCCTCCATGAAACCCCCCAAAGACCCCCAGAAGTCCTCAACCAACCCTTTGATGGCCATCAAGAACCTCAGGAACCCCCCAGAACCTCTCCGTACCCCCACCAAACCCTACCAAAAGCCAGTTGTGACCCCCAAAATCCCACAGAGACCCCCAAGTGTGGGGCGTGGGGCCCCCCTATGACCCACACCCTCCATGAAGCCCTCAATTAACCCTTTGATGGCCACCAGGAACCTCAGGAACCCCCCAGAACCTCTCCGTAGCCCCACCAAACCCTTCCAAAAGCCAGTTGTGACCCCCAAAACCCCACAGAGACCCCCAAGTGTGGGGCGGGGGGCCCCCAGGACCCACACCCTCCATGAAACCCCTCAAAAATCACCCAACACGGTCCCATAGACCCCAACCAACACTTTGGTGTCCACCAGGAACCTCAGGAACCCCCCAGAACCTCTCTGTAGCCTCCCCAAAACCCAGTTGTGACCCCCCAAACCCCACAGAGACCCCCAAGTGTGGGGCGTGGGGCTCCCCAGGACCCACACCCTCCATGAAGCCCCCAAGAAGTCCTCAACCAACCCTTTGATGGCCACCAAGAACCTCAGGAACCCCCCAGAACCTCTCCGTAGCCCCACCAAACCCTTCCAAAAGCCAGTTGTGACCCCCAAAACCCCACAGAGACCCCCAAGTGTGGGGCGTGGGGCCCCCCAGGACCCACATACTTGGTGAACCCCCCCAAACGCCTCCCTGTAGAACTAACCAACCCTTTGGTGGCCACCAGGAACCTCAGGAACCCCCCAGAACCTCTCCGTAGCCCCACCAAACCCTACCAAAAGCCAGTTGTGACCCCCGAAACCCCTCCCCTGAGCCCCCCAAGTGTGGGGCTGGGGACCCACGCGCTCCAGGAAGACGTCTCTCTTGGTGAACTTGCGGACGGCGGTGAGGGTGTCCTGCACGATGCCCATGACGGGGCGGTTGGACTGGGGGGTGACGATCATGCGGGGCACCATGGCCAACTCCTGGATCTCGGCCCGTGTCTCCAGCGACTGGGGCAGGTGCAGGTTCATCTCGTCCCCGTC